GGCTCCTGCCAGTCTTGAACCTGCACTTTGCACTTAGACGGTGCAAAACACACCATACCTGGGTACCTCGATCGTCCAGCGGTTTAAAGCGTATTTAGCTGTGTGCATTGTCGTTCATTTAGGCGATATTATCGGCATATTTTAAGTCAGGTACTCTTCCTTGGGAGGACTTCGTTGCCGCCGTTTGCTAGACCGATTGGCATATGTGGGCATAATCTGGTTCGTACTATCTCATTTTCCCTATCCAAGTCTATTGACTAGTAACCGCAGCGGTCCGTGAACGGGGATCTAGTTTCTTGTGTGGTAATTTGGTGTGTGATACAGTCGATTCGTTGTTCGTTGTCTGCTCACGTTTTAGGTGTGCAATCTCTGTTTTCCGTTCGGTTGGTTGGTATTACATATAGGCCGCCTAAGCGCTTTTCCGATTCGTCCATGGGTCCCACATGAGCGTGAAAGTAAATGGCAACAATTCCAGTGACTGCTGAGTAAACACTTGCGGCAGTCGAAAGAGATTTTAGAAGTTATTTCCGGCGGACTGCTTTCACCCAGCGCGCTCACAAGCACGAGTTAGCACGTCATAAAGCGAGTTTGCCGTTACCTCTTACTGAACCGTTGACGCACACAGCACCGTCGACAAACGACGAATCCAGTCGGAAAGGTGGGGGGGGGTGGTAGCTTTGGCAGGCAACACAATCTCGATGCTAGCCCAAGACATCGGATCTCCTGACACACGCAGAGAGAAGACAAAGGATAGTGTTAGATTAAAACAGCTCCGTAGAATGTTTGAAGTACGTTTCGGAGACTGCATTCGTCCATATTGAAGGTTTCTGGAGTTCTACCTAGGGGTAGTTCACGTAATCTGACGAACTATACTTAATTTTCTGCTGCTGGGTCCTTGAAAAGGATAATCATGCAGTTTCATGGGAGCTTAGTACGAGAGAAGTCCCCATAGTCACTGGGTTTTTTTTGATTACACACATCTAGCTCGCACAACCGAGTGCGGACTGCAAGGCAGCAGAGTTAGTATATGATTGCAGGTGGCTCCGTATGAGCACATATACATACATATACACCAGTCAGTAGTTTTAGCCACAAACCAAAAATTGGTGCATTGTTGGTATTCGAACACTGCTGTCTACACAGCATTGCACGAATCTGGTGGAGCAGCCGGAAGAGCAATGCCGAGGTTAGGCGCAGGGTTTTAAGTAATAGTGGTCAACCACTAAAGCAAGATCATGTCGTTTGAAGCGTGTTACAGATGCTACCAAACAGCTTGACAAGGCGCGCAATGTTTGTCGAGGCATCTTTGAATTCAGTGTTAATGAGAAACCATAAGTAACCTGCGGTGGTTTTTCTATAGTGTTTTATAATGTTCATAACTTACCGTTCTCCATGGTTACGCATCGTCAGGCAATAGTGGTGCTCGTGTACTAAGAACATCTAATACATCGTTTATGAATGCTAGAAAAAGGTCGCAAGTACGGATCCTTGCGAAATTTCACGGATAGCCTCAATCAGTCCCGATATTTAACCATTAATTCTAACTGGTAGACTTGAAGAAATTCCTCAATACAGTCAAGGGACAGTTCTCGATCACCGTGGTTGTGGGTCCTTCGCAACGGTATTTGGTGGTTTACTATATCAAGCAGACTATGTATTCTGCCTCTCTTGCGTTGACTTTATTCAGTCATCTCGTCCAACTAGCAGATTTGTGGTGCACTACCGTTTTCGTGTTGAGTTAGTGACGATTTTCTGCCTCGAAATACTCCAGAGAATCAGCAATTTGGGTGGTGGTGGTGCAGTGGTTTAGTCGCTGTCACCGACGTGTAGTCCGAGGTACTATAACTGGTGGTAGGCAGCTTTGCAGTCGTCTGGTTCAACACCACGCATAACCTATCGGGACCTTACGTGGTTCGCTACTCCAATTTCCGGGCTTAGGCTACCGGTTTCCATCATTGAGCAGCAGATATTGGCGACATAGAAGCCTACCCTATCTGCTGTTCATCACATTAAAAATGTGTAATAAAAACAATCGATCCATTACTTTTGATAAGGCAGGAAGAGTAACTGGACGGTTCGCAGTATCATTTCAAAAGCCACATTTGTAAATGGGTGAAATGACACCTTGTTTCCAGAACTGTGGAATCACTGTTCTGTCAGACATACTTTGGTATAAGTTTGCGGTTGTTTCAGACATAGTCTAACAAGGAGATCAGTCTGCGAATGGATGTTGCATACACCCGGGGATGCATACTAACACAAGGCTAACAGTTTGGCGTTTTCCGTTTCAGTCTCGAAGGTAATAGTAGTAGTAGTAGTCAATTATGGGTTTGGTACACATGACAGTCATTAGTAAGGTTATCATTATTATCGGATAATGGGATTCAAGTAGCTAAATTTTATTGAATTTTTAAATAACTCGACTAAAACTGCACTTTTTATTGCTCAGTTTTCGAAGGCTATCTGTTTTCGCATCGATGAAAACTGCGTAGTGTTCTACAAATCTGCACTCCCCTAAGCAGATGATGAACGAAGGAAAGGAGTGATCTCATACCGGGTGACAGTGAAGAACTTGAAGCGTGCTCCGGTTTAATTGTGGAGCAATGTTCCGATTGTGACATCTGTTACGGTCAATGCATAATTAAAGGTTGTGAAGAGTTTTAAAACAGTCCAAACCCAGCGAACGACCATTTAATGTTAACCGACACTGCAGTTAAAAAATATGGTGAACAAATGAATTCAGATCTTTTTCCTCTAAAGGATCGACCACATGCTCGACATTTGCTTTCTTTTATAGTCGATCTCAGGGTGGAAGTATCTCGATGCTTAGGAGGACCTGCAAGTTCAAGCGAACCCTTTCAGAAAGTTAAACTCAGTGGTGAACTGTGGCTGCCCGTTGGCTCTAGGCCGAAGCAATCAAATTTTACCCTTACATTGCTCCCTACTCCAGGTTCCTATAACTAAACTGGAGAACATGTTGATCACTCCATTCGTGTTCATTAGATCAAGGTATATGCTCAAATATTTTCGGATTCTATGGAAAACTGTTGTAACTTTGAAGTGGACGATACGACTAGACTAGCATGAGCCGTGACCCAACGAAGGCAATGATAGTGGGCAACTCATGTGTTTATATGCAGTTTAGAGACCGGAAAATAGCTCGAGTCATGGGAAAATGGACCAATGAGGATTAAGCATTGCCGGTGGAGCGGCGTAAGTCCTTTTTTGGCTAGAAAATCTGAAAGTTCAAGTTTATAAAAATTAATAGAAAGATAGAGGAAAATAGTCACTTTTATAGGGAAAAATGTTTTTTTTCCTGTCAAAAACTACGTTTTTTGGTTTTGCGAATTCGTACGTTTATCTCAGATTGTATCAAAGTGACGGGATAACACCCTATGCTTTGAGCTCATAGTGCGCGGCTCCACTTTGGGTGTAATCTGTCAACCCTACTACCAGGGTGCATACAGCTCCGGTTCATACCCATCTTATCTGGAGTAAGTTAGAGTCCTTTAACTGTTTCATCTGAGCTGAGAAACCACTCCGAACAAACTAATGGTACCATAGCAGCTGGTCAATATTCGCTTATTCAAATTTCTGCGGTTCACTAATTGATGCATTTTTCTTCTGAATCTCATCTGCAATCTTATCTTATGAGTACGATTACTTGGAAACAAAAAAATCATTGTTTAAAGTGCTTTAGAGTATCCTAATTCCTTTCCCCGTTTTTCAGAGGCTCTGAAAGTGCTGTCGTTGTTGCGAATCACCGTGTAAAAGTCAACTTTAGTACTTCAAAACGGATTATTCAACGACCTGCCGGTGGTGATGCAGACAGGGAGTACACAGACGGGCCTATTGAAAGCCGTGTCCTACTTTTGACCGTGTATAATGCACAATATCCCATTACCGTGGACGTTATCCATCAAATTACTTCGCGTCACGGACGTGTTCTGCGCATTGTCATTTTCCGAAAGACCCACGTCCAAGCTATGGTAGAATTCAAAAGCACGGATGATGCACGCACAGCCAAAAGGCATCTTAACGGTGCAGACATATATTCGGGGTGTTGTACCTTGAAAGTGGAATTCGCGCGTCCTACCAGACTTACGGTTTCACGAAACGACCAGGACACATGGGACTTTGAAAATCCCAATCTGCCTGATTCAAGACGTCCCCGAGAAGGAGATAACAGACCAAATGCTTCTTTGCTGGGTAAGGTTCGACTTATTTTATACCTAATTGATTCAAGGTCGTTTCGATCGTGGGCATCGATTCGAAAACGGACGGGCTCAAAACGGCGAGGCTTTCACATATCAAGATGGCTTTCCTAGACAGAATTCAGTTCCCATCAGTGGTCTGAATGGGGCATTGTTTGATCAACTGGCTATTGCAATGCATCCATCATTTGCAGGGGCTGCAACCACCGAGGGTTATGTGCAAGGTCGTGCAGCTACGCCATGTGTGATGGTGTATAATATGGACGTCGGTCAAATGAATTGTGACCGGTAAGCAATGCAGTTGTCCATTATTGTTCTTTTTATTTACTTTTTTACATTTGAATTTGACAAAGTCTCACAGGTGGGTCAGTAACGAGTGTTAAAACAGACTGAGTCACCGTTATTAGTGCACTTAGATGTGTAGGCTTCTGCGGTTCGCGTTTCGCCAGCCATTTCTTGTAAGATGGTCTGGTTTCACTCGGACCGGTACCGTGTTTATTCCACCAGCGCCTTTTTTTGAATCACCGCTCCAAATTTCAGACTTAATTTAATTTAGACTGTTAATTTTCGTTGCCAAACGGTAAGTTTACCCAAACATTTCGGGGTACATCGCTCTTCCCATTGTGTTGACATGGACCACCGTTCACATTCCAACCCTTCTTAGAGTCTTCGTTTGATCTACCCAGCACTCTCTTTTCCCGCTCTTCCAACCCGTAACATTTTATCAAGCCACTCATTACTCACTCACCAAAGCGTGTTGCCAAATAGCGCTGTAAATGGTTTGCCACTGAATGAGCTGCAGATTCTGAAGCTTCGATTATCTCTGAACCCGCAACCATCAAAGTGCGGACTTTCATACAACCTTGTCTGGCGACTACAATGAACTCGCTGGTGATCAATGTTTGCTGTGTGTACGAGACGGAAAGCCATTGAAAGGCGTCAGATTCGTCATCAAGGTACTAACTACACAATGAAAAAGCCCGTTCACGTTTTGCCTATGTCTAACGGTCGCCTACTGCCCCTCCATTTGAAGTTACCGTCCCGGGCTGAAGAAAACCACACGGAGGTCAGCAGGTCACGCGGAAACGAGATATGATGGAATGCACAAAGAAATTAGGCAGACTAGGTGTGTTACGTCTTCCAGGTTGGGGTCCAAAAACTGTATTTGGTTGGTTTGATACACTGAAGGACATGACAACAATGGTATTCCTTTTTTCACTCCTTATCAGATCGAATTGGTTGAAAACGTTTGTGTGTACAGTTAGACTGTGTACTCTGTTAGGCATAGAGGTTTCCTTTCTTTTCCCCTTTCTGACCACCTTACACGTTCCCACTTGTCTTGTATGCGTCATGAGTTTGGAAGCAATCAGTGGAATCCGCTCCACTGTATTCCAGTGTCCGATGACCGTTCGCTATCAAGATAAACATATTTACTCCACATTCAACATGCCCTTGTCTTCTGATAAAAAGTCCGTTTCTCTGATTCTCACAGCATAATTTTGAATACTCCCCTTATCTACCAATCTTTATCCTTCAGCCTTTCGAATGACCTGCGATCACGTAACAAAATACTGTGACGGAATATTTTTGGTATTGCTGTTTGGATTTGAAGTACTCTTAATCTGCTTCTTCCAATACGTTATTTCTTGTAACCAAATTTACAACTCTAACCATTCGCGTCGACTAAGGATCCATTCGCCTTTCATATATTTATGCATTACATTGTATTTCCCTAACATGAACCTTCTCGCCAACAGACTTTTCAATCTCCTCTGCCTATATGGGAACGTGGTTCGCATCAAATTCCTGCGCACCATTGCTGGCTCCGCGATGGCTCAAATGGGTGATACTGCGAGTGTGGATCGTGCAATACGAAACCTGTCCGGTGTATCATTTTTAGGGAACCAACTTTTGGTGAGTTTGAAAACTAGCAAGGAAAAATATGCTGTTGTTGTCGACTTGAAACTCTTAACTGCAACCAAAATATCTATTACACAGTGTGAATTACGGTGAAAGGGAAAGTCTCTATTGACAAATAGCATATAGTAAGAGGGAGAGTAGGAGAAAATTCTCGTAAGATCCAGTTTATTCATTTTGCGTTTGAAGAGTGTAAGGTTGTAATTTGGGGGAAGAAAAGAAAGTGCGAGGGTTGTCCACAGCTCGGCCTTTCTGGGAAAAAAGAAAACTGAAGCACAGAAGTAAGAATTCTGGGAACTGAAATCTGATAAGGATGACTAGATACTTGTGTACGTGATGGGCGGGTAAAAGTTGCAGCAATTGAAACTATCGAGGTAAGTTCCGAAGAATAAAAAAACGAAGTAGTAACGGTAGATCAGGTTCAATAAAATGACTGCCCGACGATGGGCTAGTGACTGCAGACTGGATGTTAGGCAAGGATAATCGATTAACTAAAGAGCCTTTCGTTAAACGCGATCAAGAAGAAGCTCAGTAGCACATTTCGAGGACGACGGATGGAATTCCGTCCGTACGAGGTGGCTTGTTTGCGTTTACGCGCGCAATGGTTGACGGATTTTCCTACTGTTAACATGAGGTAAAAAAAGGATGATGAAGGGAGAAGGTGGCGTGGTGGTGGAGTAAGGTGGAATTGACGGCATACTGGGGAGCAAAACCTCAGTTTTCTCCTGTGGTTGACATACAAGAGGAATTACAGATAGAGGGGAAGTCGGAAGAGCAAAAATCACGGGGAATTGCTTTGGCCAGGGACCAAAGTGTTTCAACTACCAGTGGCGTACGAGACTAAGTTTTCGACTTTATAGCGAACGAAGCGTTCTTTGATTCTCCGAATGGTCGTCGGACATCTTGCACAAAGCTATGGTGGGAGTCGGGAATGGGTGAGCGATGGAAGGCGGAGCGATTTAGGCGTTGAGCGTGGTTAAACCACTCGGGGCTATCAGGTTTGGAAATGTGCGGGATAAAAGGATGCATACCTTAAAGAACTACGTCAAAGAAACGTCCGAAGAGAAACAACAGTCGTTCCAGGGATAAGAAGCTAGAAAATCACTGAAACCGTCGCAGTTAGCTGAGTTGTAGCGCCAAAATGTATCTCGGGGTTGGAAAACCTAATAGAACAAGAAACTATACTGTGATCCAATGGGCCAAGAGGAAGAAAAGTACAAATATCTGGAAGAATGGACCGAAGTGAGAATTAGATCGACGGTGTGTGCTCGATGAGGGACACGTGGGGAGGTCAACTTGGGGAAACCGGCAACCATGATCCTGAAGCTTGGAGTGGTGGGTCATATAAGGCTTCTATTGAGCCGAGTGACGATAGAGCCGTCTACCGTCAGTTATGCTTCCGAGAATGACTAAATCCCAATAACTAACCTGCGGCCTGGCCATCCTACCACTATCACTTCCGATACACTGCACTTGAATCTATAGTGGGTATCGTCCTATCCATCGTCGTTGATTAGAGAGTTTACACGAACTTTTTGCCTCTAGGTCTTTTTAGTCGTGTAACCATCAGTCTTAATCAGTTTGCTTGACGAAACGATCGGGTTTCCGCTCACCATGCCACTTGGAATTAATACGTGTCTGAAACCTGATTTCTCGAGATTTTCTGCTGCATTTGATGAAGGTCGTGATATCGTACCTAATTTGAGAGGCTTGTTTGGGCATTGCTCGAACTGCAGGAACTGAAGAGCACGGCTTTGCCATCATGGCCTACATTGTACTTGGATGAGCCTTTTAGACACTTATCAGGACTTCCGGTCCAACGATCACGGTTGGCATATTTTTGCAGTCTAGAGACTTGCGGTTCCAGCCCCCTGTCCTGATATGCGGCCCTTTTACAGGCGATTCATCTGAGGTAGTGAAGAGCTGCACAATAGATGGATGTTGAGTCTTTCTAGGCCCTTTTTTATTCCCCTCAGTCCAAGTTGATGCTTTGTGTCTATCAAGCTGAGGCATTATTTGCTCGTTCATTTTTACTTTTGTTCACTCGTGGGGTAAATGTTTTTTATCTGCAGATTCGCCCAAGTAAACAAATGGTGATTGTGGATGTACCGAAGCCGTTCGAGCTTCCAGATGGCACTCTCTCATTCAGAAACTACACCGGTTGTCGTGAGAACCGTTACACAACAGCCGAAAAAGCAAGTAAAAACCGCATTTATCCCCCGGCCAACACACTGCATTATTGGAACTGTCCACCGAACTTCTCCACTAAAGAATTGCGGGATATATTCGTTGAATGTGGTGCCGAAGCCCCAGCGTAAGCCTTTTTGAATAGTGGCTCTCGTTGTCGTTAAAGAAACTTCTTCCAACAGATTTTCATATTTGACGTTTCTATATTTTATTAACTTTTCCCCTGCACTCGCTCGTTTGCAAAATTTTGGATTCAGGTTTGACTGCTGGTCTTCCTCTACCAAGGTTTCACCTCCACAGCACAAGTTTGCTTAATGGTTCTCCTGTAACCGGTTTAATCGAGCAATTTTAACGTTTATTCTCCACGCTTTCAAAAGTGTCCTCATTCGTAAACAATGTGGGTTGTGAGCTACAATCAAAGTAGCGATATGCAAAGAAGGCGCATTGAGATAGGACCATGGTTGATGATATCAGCATTCCCCAATTAGTGTATTTCAGTTTAACTCCACCGCATGACTTAAAAAACTTCCCCTCCTATAACTAATTTCGCAACCTTTAGTGACATGAATATGTTCAGAAACGAACAGACCTGTTTCATATTTGACTGCTCATGTTCACCTTTTTCCCAGTATTACTCACGCCTTTCTGTACCATTGTTTTGTTATTACGGACTTCTGCATCTTATACCGCGTAACCGTCCTCGTGGTATCCACTTATCTTATTCCTCATAGTCGGATAGCTGCATTCCCTAGCACCAGCGAACGTTCATCTTCCGGGTTAGTGGAATGGAACAACACTGCCGATGCCGTTGCTGCTCTCGCGTTCGCAAATCACTATTCTATCCCCTATCCAGAGGGTCGCTTTCCGTTTATTCTCAAATTATCTTTCTCAAACACACCGGCACAGGAGCGAGGTCATGCAAGTGCACCGCCAAGACGGTCCGGTACCCAAACGTCCAAGAAGTCAATCAGTGCTACCGGTGATGATGAAGAGTTTCGCTGAAAACCGTGGTAGCAGTTTCACACAGCAAAGTGGTATGTGAGCAATTTTTCTTTTTAATTTTTAACTCTATTTTGAGATGATTATTTCACGCAACCACCAACTGTTTTCGTGTACATCACTTATTTTTATCATTGCAACTCTTATTCATTTGTGGCCACACCGTTGTTAATCAGTTATTTAGCCCCCAAACAGCCTAAGATAGATGATACTTCTCATACATTCCAAAGGTTGGTGTAATTGCTTTTTTTCTTGCGAAGGTAGACACGAATTTGTCCAACATGGTGATGGAGAGCACCACTCAAATGGCTTCAATATGCCGGTCGGTCGCAACCCTGGAAGCGGAAGCCATTCGATCAGGGTGTGCGTGCCTCGTTTGGCTCCCAAATGAAGTCGTGGTTCCCGAACCGACTATTTGGGTCGATACGAACGAATTTTCACATAAGAGAAATGGCTCAAATCTCATTTTTAGTGGGGAGTCTTCGTTTGATACGTCCATGTCGTTGACAATCGATTTGTGATCAGATGTAACCCACTGGGTTATGGTCTCGTACTTCCACAAAATCACCGTCACTCGCATCCAATGGGCGCTTTTTCATATTGATTCTTCGGTCGTCTTGGGGCTACTGGCTTATTTCCTATGTTATCGAACGACGAGTCGTGACTCGGATTTTTAGCCATTATCATCGTCCAACGTGACCATGTAGCCCACCAGTTCATCCGTTCGCTGTTCAGTGAGCGTCAGGCGATGCCTTACTCCAATGATGCTCAGCGTCTAGCATTGTCGCTGTCGTGGTAACTGATATCTTCGTTTATTCAAGTCCCAACTTTCTCGCTACTGTGTGCCGCAAGTGGTTACAAACTTCATGCATTTTGTATCATGTATCTTCTGATGTTGTAGTTCAGGGATGATATACTAGACTTGGTTTCTTAAACTTTGTGCATTCGGTTCTGATTGTAAGTGCGGTAATACGTAGATTTTTTACACCAGTCTTGGAACCCCCGGGTGGCTTCTTAGGGTATCGTGATCGCCGTTCTGTGCCCAGCAGAAACGCCGTTTTCCATGAGTCAGTTTACCGGGAATACATTAAACTTTGCATAGTGCTGTCGCAGACTGACGACAAACACCCAATGTCATCTGCAACCCCCTTCGGCCATTTGTGCGCCGTTGGAACCCGCTAATCTAGTGCATTCGAATTTTTTCTCCCTCTCTCTCCCATTTCTCTGCCCAGCCACCATTGTTCGACACAATTCAACACACAAAAGCATCCATCAAGCACCACACGCCTTCTAGTCGTTGACGTCAGATGCACCAAGCTGTACACAGAAACCAAACAACATGCAATGCATCCCAGTCATTCATGCGACCCATTCGCACACTCGTCCTCTTATCGCCATACATCAGCATTTCTCGCTTCCATCAAGGTTACATTGCGCTGCCCCCGGGTTTTCTGTTTCCCATTTTGTAGTACTCGTTCCATCCTTGCTATTTACCTAATTGTGTATGCACCGAGACTATCGCGCTGCTTTCATTTATGCCTCGTTATCCATGCAAATATATGTCTTCGTTCGTGCTTGGTGTATTCTTCCTTCGCGTGAAAAGTATTCTGGGCTCTATTCTTGAAGTTTTTAGGCAGGTTCACTTATTTGCCTTGATAATGCGGATACTGCACGTATTTTTGCGTCCATCCCGATAGAGNCCCATCGGTTTGCCGTAATAGAACATGAAATCGGAACTTGATAAAGCATGTATTTGACAAGGAACAAACAAAACAGTGCGAAAGTGAAAATGGCCGGCATTTGAAAGGTTTGTTACTGCTACGCGTGGCCACTGTTCAATCTACACAAGCATTTCTTACAAATTGGTGCAATTGAAACTTGCCCCAGATCTTGAGTGATGGTGACTGTGGTGCTTGTAGTGGGTGAAGTGATGGGAGTAGTGATGTTCTATGACGCATTCCAGTGATGTTGACCCGGGGCTGAATTCATGGGAAAGACAGATATGGAACATGGTTTGAATCTCCAGATACTGTAGTGATGCGTATCTATCACCTTTGTCAGTACAAACTTTAGCACAAAACAAAAATCCCCGCCCAAGTAAGTTGGGGAGACAGTGCGACTTCTCAAAGGGTAAATATATGACCGTGCCATTTCGTCCTCTTAGGGAATGGGAAATTTGTCGCGCAACCTTCCGATGACTGAATGGATGCGGTGTATTAAGTACATTGTCATTACATCATCGAAGTTTGAAGTCGTAAAGAATACTCATTTTATGTTTAGACCCAATAACTCTTCCAGTAGCGTTCCGTAACCCGTTGTGGGCCATTTCGAAGGAACGGGAATGGAAGCACATTGTCACACCACTAAGTGACTAAACGCTTTGTGCCGCTGCCCATCTTCAAAAACGCATGCGACTACTGGCGATCAGTCGATGTACTCAGGTGGAATTATATTTGCCACTTCGCAAAGGTGCATTTTATAAGCATCATTGTTGTACGTATACACTGAGCTTACTTGCTCTTTCACTCACCTGGTCTCATCCTTGCAAACTTCACACACCACCAACTGTGGTCATTATTTGGTTTGCTGTTTCGTTTTTCAAAGTTGGTTGGTTGAAGTCCCGGATGGTTGAGCTTGCAAACGAAAACTTCAGAATGAACGGCAGCCCATCCTCTAAATTGGTAGCCTCTGCATGGTTGCAAAATAAAAGAGCGGTGAGGGCATCTGCCTCCGAACTCCACTGCAATACTCCAGATGCCGTTTTCCCGGTAGCCTTTGTGTATGGTACCATCGTTCTGATAAATAATCCAAACAAAAAGTGAATAAAGTTGTGTACCTAGTTATTGACTGTTTTATGTAGTTCAAAACCAGATTAATGCGGTGCTTGCAGTTCTACCTCGAGAACGAGCAAATCAAACTCCGCAGAGTTAAAGTAGTATATACCTACATGACAAGCATAATCTGTAGCGAGCGTGCAGTGAAATCGAGTCTAATCTTAATGTGGATACTCACGTGGGAATAGGTGCACCAGCACTACGGAACAGATTCTGCATTTCCGGAAGTCCGATGTTCGGCGGACAATTCCAATAGTGCAGTGCTTGAGATGGCCGAAATTTTCTGTTCTTACTCGCTAAGGTTGCATTGCTATATCGGTTGTTGCGGCATCGAGAAAAATCCTTGAATGAAGGCGAACCATCGGGCAAACTGTACGGTTGTGAGACCTCTAGCAATTCGGTTTGTTTGCTTGGTCGAATCTGAAGAAAACCGAAAGGGATTGTTTTGGTTCAACAACTGTCATCACATTACTCACGGGTATTCAGCAAATTGTGACCTGCTGTTTGTGAAGCCGCAACTAAAATGCTAACTTACTAATATCTGTTTACCCAAAACCACCGCTCCTGACAGATTGTCAATCAGGTCATCCACGGCCACTGGTTCACCCATTTGCACCATGGCAGCACCTTCGTTGGAACGGAGGAATTTGATACGAATTACATTCCCGTACAAACAGACCACATTGAAAAGTCTGTAATAAAAAAAAAATGAATAGTTGAACTTGTGAAGTTTAGCAGGAGCTGTGACTGTCATAGCTATTTCATCAACTAAAAATTGGTGTTCTCTTATTGCTGTGAAATACGATCTTTGTTTCTAGCCAGCTGTTCATTGGCATGAAATTATGAGAAAGGATCTCCCGGTACATTTTACCCGAGGGGGGATCAACCCATAAGCAAACTGTAGATCAAATTTCGTCGTATAAGTGGTAAATGTAAAATAATTCAGAGGTTACACGAATTTACCGGCGTAATACGTTTCATTGCATATCAAGGCATGAGCAATCTACCGCTATCCGTTACTGAAGTAACTGCTCGATGCAGAAACACGCCGGAAAATAAGCGTTGCATTTCACCAATGACAAAAATGGTCAGATATACCGAATCGAAAAAGGAGTTAACAACTACTTACATATGAGTCCTTGCAAGTGCAGGGAGCTAATACAGACGACACTCGTAACCCAGTAAGAAGGAGCGCCCCACGACGAGCCTAAGGACGCTAACATCAACGGATTTCAATCCTTCAGCTAACTTGCCCCGTAAGTTATTTGGAAAACGATTGGGTCGTGTTAAATCGTAGTTTTACTGAAGGGGAAGCGTTAGCACTATTGTGTTAGAGTACCAGTCTTTGTTTTGAGCCGAGTGAACTTCGTAGACAATGATCAGGGTGTCTAGGAAGTAAATGCAGTATGATGTTGAGAAATATGATACAGCAGGTGGAAAAGGGAGCATTCAAGCTAGAACGAGCCTCGTTCTGTGTTTAAGGTAACGGATGTTTCAAGCTGAAGGGAAAACTGAAAGTTAGGTTATTGTTGGGAGATGAGTCAACAGTTCCAGCGGACTAGACAGGAGACCATATCTTTAACCCACTGACTAGAAAGTTGGTCTGATTCCAAGCCCTTCGGTACAAGAAACGCGTTATAGATGACGCTGCATAACGAAAGCCAGGCGTGCATGGGACTTTATTCCCAGCAAACATCCGTTAGACTTCATAGACAGTGCAAGACGGTCAACTTAGCTTCCTCAGTCAATTACGGTTCCTATCCGCTCGCAGATATTTGAATTTTAAATAGTATGACCTGCTTTGAGTGTACGAAGCTTACTAGTGAACTCCAATATGCAGATTGACTCTTAGCTGGATGCCTCCGTATAGGCCTAATCCATGATGACGATGCATCACTCAACTGACTTCTCTCTATCTATATTCAACATTATAACTCTTTGGTCCCTTGCCAACTAATCTGTTAACCATACTCGTAGACAATACACAACTGCTACCAAAGTATAACCCATGGGTTAATTACAAAAACAGAGCAAAACATTAACCACTGTCTTCGATACAGATAAACACTTTTACCAGTAGTGCGAACGCAATGGACAGCATCGCATAGCACTCAACACCCTAATTTATTCCAAGTTCCTAAAAAATAGTCTTGATAACGATTTTCTGTTACACTGAAGTGGTTTTCGGAAAAGACAAAGGTGAGTTCCATTATTTACAATTTCGTCGTAAGAACATACCCAAGTAAAATCGAAAACAATTTTCGGCTCCTCAATTATATCAATATGCGATATCGAATGCGTTGAAGTTGACGTTAGAGTGCAGACACGATAAATAACAAATGGGAACGCGTTTATATCGTCATGCAAATGACGAGACACGAATCCGGATTAAAATGTCTCCCAATCTATCACGAAATTGAGATGCGGATGCTGAATAAAGGACGGTTCCACCAGAGATTAGCGAACCTTGTACCCTGTCGGAAATTCTGACTTTCTTCTTGGAGTAGACTACTACTATTTGTGGACATGTTTATCTTTCACCGAAGAAACGAACAAGAATTGGTTCCTTCTTGAGACAGTTTCGGTTAGCGTAGCCACACTCCTCTCCATCACTGAATCCAAAGAGCCCTATGTTGATTACAGTGTAGCCGCCTTCAACGTTGGAATGAGCGAGGTTTACTAGTCTTTAAAAACGCAGGTGAGGACGGACCTGTAATTTCGTGAGTCACCTTTTAGCGTCCTGACAAGTATTCGAAGTTTTCCCCATCGGTTGCATTATCAGTTCTTAGTACGAAATCTATCGTTACGGACTCCCTACGTAGTTATTCTAGAATCTATGGATTGCCAGATAGATTGTAGTAAATATTTTACCTGAGTTCGTCCATTTCCAACCTGTCAAACACTCATTGTCTAGGCCTATGGATAATCCCGCAATTTTTATAGTCGATTCCTCGTATCGGTACTAATTATGTATCGCAATATGAGGAACCCCGATTGAACATATATATATATGAATACCCCCCGCGCACAACTCGTTAGACGTAATTGAGTAAGCGCTTATTCGTCGCATGGTGGGATCAGAAGAAATTCGCACCCACTCCGTTCGCGAGTTATCCAACTCAACACCGTCAATGTGTATCATGGACAGGTATACGTTAGATATGACTCCAATGTCTCTCGCGTTATGTGCATCCTCAACTGGTTTGTTCACGCTCAAGGCTTAGAACCTTTAGACCAGGCGGACGAGCGATCTTTAGAAAATGCTCGAGTCTTTACACCCTCCCTGGTGAATGTAGAGGAGCCATACCCGCTATTCCGACCAGCATCCCTGTGAAGATCATCGTGCATTCAACTGCGGTGAAACCCCGGAGAGCTGATCTTCAATACTTGGTCAGAACTCTATCACGAAAACCACGGATCTTCTGTCCGACCTAGTCACGGGAACATTCATCAGCTACCGGTCGCAGAGGCCGACATATCCATACGGTCGTATTTAGGTCTTTCGGGCTCTGAATTCCTTCGGACGCTAATCGGTTTAAGAAACGCCGCAGTTCTTCTAGCGTTTCATCGACTTCTAAGAAGGTTCAAGCTCCTTACTCGCTCACCTAAAGATTTCGGTGGCTAGTTCATCGCATGAGAAATATTTAACAAGCCGAATATTGTCCGTTTAACACATGATGATGCGCTCACGTCTCGTCATCCGTTGACCTAGGTTGCATGCCTGTCCCCAAGGCTGATCTCTAGCACACACCAGTCGAGTTGACCTCCAGTTGCAAGAGAAATGGTAGCATCGACCCCACCAGAGGCGACTACGCAGCTCCCTTGGTTGAGGTTAATCAAACATCCAATCACGCATTCAATAACCTCCAGTCTGCGTACCCTGGGTTTAGCTGAAGACTAGTATGTATTCCTCAAGGCTGATGATCGCGCACCCTTCCGCTCAATATAGCCGTCCATATCAAGTACTGCGACGCTTCAACAGAAGCCAAATGATAGAGCTCAACAGTAGACGCGAGACCGTGAGTAAAGACCGGTGCATTTGATGGAAACCGCTCCTTCTCTTGTCACTATCCCTGTACTTGTAGTGCAACCCGGTTTATTTGTTTTATATTTGAACAACCACACATTTTCAAGCGGCGGTTTTAGTTGGTCTTTCTGGCTGTTCATTTGGATGAAGAAGTAGGAGACAGGGAAGCTGGGGTAGAGTCGAACAGAAAGTGGAGAATTCCAGTATGTTCCAAAATACAGTGCCACTGATTACGACAGGCACAGATATTAGTGCACCCCTAGCCACTAATTACAATGACCCCAAGGTCCTCATCCACGGGGCCTAACGCGACTTACATGACCGATTCCCA